AATTAAGCCTAGCAGTAGAGAAGATAAAGTAGGTAGGATATGGGAGAGATAAATGAGATAGATAGCAGTTAGGGTACCCGAAGAGATCTTGAGGCTGACATTCGGACCCCCCTAGAAAAAGGACATTAGTCCCTGTAAGAGAGAACAAAATACGTTAAGCATTGCATACATTTCTATGGTTTATCAGGATACTTAGCATAAATTTTCTTTAGCAGTTCAGGGGCCCTAATGTCTTTTTCGTTCACCCACTCAGCATGGGATGGGGGAAAATGTTTCCAGGCTACAAGATATTGAAGACGACCCCTCCACTTCCGAGAGTCCAAAATCTCTTTAATCTCGAAATGTTGTTCACCCTCAATCAACAATGGCACGGGTGGATCAGTCTGGGTCGGTCTCAATGTACAGGTATGTTCGGGTTTTAGCAGGCCAACGTGGAAAACCGGATGAATGCGACGAAGAGTTTTTGGTAGAGTCAACTGAACCGTCACAGGATTCACAATCCGCTCAATAGGGAAAGGCCCCACATACTTAGGACCCAACTTTTTTGATTTCTGAGTGGTTTGCAGATATTTGGTTGAGAGGAACACTTTGTCGCCTACTTGATATGACTTTTGTGGGGCTCTCTTCCTGTCCGCAAATTTCTTATGGGATTTGTGCGCCTCGTCCAGAGCTTTACGAGCGACGGCCAATTGAATTGAAGTTGAGATATCCAGTCGTCCAATGACTGGACATTGGGTTTCTCACGAGGGAGTTCAGGTATGGGTACAAAATCTTGCCCCGTGGCCACTTTGAAGGGGGTAAAACCAGTACTGCTGTGGACAGAATTGTTATACGCCACCTCCACAAAAGGTAGTAGATCCACCCAGTTGTCCTGCTGATAATTTATGTAACACCGGAGATATTGCTCTAACACCCCGTTAGTTCTCTCACAGGCCCCATTAGTTTGGGGGTGGTGGGCAGAGCTAAAACCCTGGGTGGAGCCTATTAACTTCAAAAATTCCCTCCAGAAGTTCGAGGTAAATTGAACCCCTCGATGAGAAACTACACGCTCAGGGACGCCATGCAGTCTGTAGACATGTATAATGAACAGTCTG